AATGTTGTTGCCTTTCTGGATATAGACAAATGATAATGGAAACCATTACACTTAGGAAAGGCCATCTAGCCTCTTTTCCCCAAAGCTGACTGTCTAGTGAGGCCATGTTAGATGAAAATACAACATATACATTACAGCATTGTTTTGTACAGCTTTCTAGAAGTCTTCATTTTTCTCATTTCTCCCTTTCCTGCAAACTTGCTAAATGTAGCTGTCTTCCACAGCATCTAAACTCCAGCTGAAAACAGGGTGAGCCTGATAGCAAAGCCGCTCTGAGAATAACTTCATAAAGATCGCTGCATCAAAGAGCAATATATCATAATATTTTCTCCTTCCAGTAACATTTATTTTCCAGACTTTTTACACTTAGCCTCTGCTAGACAGGCCTCAAGGGATTAAAATTTGGTGATGAATTCCAGGGTTTCATCTGCAGTACAGTCTGCTGCAGTTAGTACTCTAAGGCAGTTAAGCATATTTTTTATAGAACCTTTAGAAAATATTTTATTTGGTAGAACAAAGTACATTTTACAGCATTTTTACCTATTGTGCATGCCTGTAAACAAATCTAACTTTTTTTAACAAGCATTTTAATTTTCTGAAGTGAAAGGAAATATATCAGGCACAAGCTTTCAGACAGGAAGAGGAGCATTGCTATTGCAAATAGTAACAATGAAGGAAGTACAATGAGCCTGTGATTACCCTAAGTAATCCCTTCCTCCTACAGTTCAGAGATTCACACAACTGGGAAAGACTGGAACATCTGTCTCTTCAGGGTATGGTTAAGGGAAAATACTGCAAACCCTGAGGAGCTTTCTTTCCCACATTGATCCTTGGTGCGTGCACATTCCCTTCCTAATAAAGAAAGGTGAGCAAATACAGTACAGTGGATACAGCTGATAGATTATTTTAGCATCAGGCCTGCTTCAGAACATGCTGGAATACCATGAGCTCTCATCTGATTAATACTGCTGTGTCCCTGGTTCTTGCCTCACTGCACTGACTATTGGTTAGCACACCTTGGACACCGAGCAGGAATAAAACACTGACACTAGTCTATAGTCTACACCTGCAGAAAAGTATCAAAAGAAGTTAAAAGACTCTGGTGGTAGGTTTTTTTGGTTCATTTTACATTAATCTGGGTAGCCAACCACAAACATCCCCAAAGGTCAACTTCTGTGTTTCTTTTGTGTGGCTTGAATCCATCCCCATAGTGAACAATATATGAGGAGGGCGAGTGCAGACCACAGCCAGCAGATGGTCTCCAGGCAGTATTCTGTGCAAATGAACCCAAGGTGCACTAGTCACCCCCCAAACACACAAGCCACCTAACCTCCTAATCACCCTGCTCCTGTCTATATGATGTTAAATTTAATTCCTTTAAGATGGAGCTGTGAAAACAGTAGATGAGATTTAACTCTTAATAGCATCTGCTTAAGAGAGTGGCCTGAGTCAGGGAGGGCATATCAGGGTGAAAGGATCAACCCTGGGGCAAAGGAAATATTTTATAATTATTTATAATTGTTTATAATTGCAGGAATTATTGCAATCATCTGACAGGCAAGACTGAGGGAAATGCAGTGTCCAGCACAAACAGTTAAGGAGTGAAACTGGGATTCAGACTTGGGCTGTATTACCGTATCAGCCCTCCAGCTGCTGCATGGGATTGGGTGCAACATGGCACTTATCTCCTCAGCAAAATGGGACTGCATTTATGTAATGTATGAAGATTCCAAGATCACCACACAGTGACTCAATACCCATGTAAGTTTACTTAGTCATGGCCATGCTCAGAGAACAGGCATCTCAAACCCTGAGCAGTGGCAAACTGCTTGTTAAAAAAGATGATGTGTTTTTCCAGGCTTTTGTTTTTTCCTATTTTGAATCTCTCTTGTCTTTCTTGTGGTAATTTCTATATCAACAAGCCTGGACAAACATATACAACTGCAACTATCGTATCTAATTAGCGAGTAGATCTTTTTATTGATACAGACAGCTGCCTTTTCAACTCTTCTTGTGTTTATTATTTTCCTCAGACGTTTGCAGAGTAAGTGATTGCTAAGATCTCCATTACACAGGCAGGTGACTGGAATGTAAAGACAATGTGTACCATCTGAAGTCTGTGTATGAAGTTGGTAATAGGCAATTGTACATCATCTCCTTGATTCCTAAGCTGAGGTATTGGCCGCCTACTTTCCAAGCCAAGATTAGGTTTATCTGGCAGCCCCTGGAGTAATACTGAAAGAAGAGTGTGCTGGTTTTGGCTAGGGTAGAGTTAATTTTCTTCATAGGAGCTGGTATTGGGCTATGTTTTGGATTTGTGCTGGAAACAGTGTTGACAACACAGGGATGTTTTTGGCATTGCTGAGAGGTGCCTACACAGCACCAAGGCCTTTTCTGCTCCTCACGCCACCCCACCAGCAGGGAGCCTGGGGGTGCACAAGAAGCTGGGAGGGGACACAGCCAGGACAGCTGACCCCAACTGACTGAAGGGATATTCTATAATGTATGACATCCTGCTCGGCGTATAAAGCTGGGGGAAGAAGCGGGGCGGGTATTTGTAGTTTTGGCATTTGTTTTTCCAAGTAACGTTACACATGACGGAGCCCGGCTGTCCTGGGGATAGCTGAGCACCTGCCTGCTGGTGGGGAAGAGTGAATGAATTCCTTGTTTTGCTTTGCTTGTGTGTGTGTATTTTTCTCTCTCTATTAAGCTGTCTTTATCTAAATACAAGAGATTTCTCACTTTCACCCTTCTGATTCCCCCATCCTACCAGAGGGGAAGCAGGCGAGCAGCTGGGTTTTGTTGCTGTCTGGGGTTAAACCACAACAAAGAGCCTCCAATCCCTGAGGAAACAGTAAACTGGAAACGTACATCCTTTTTCAGAGAAATCTCTCTAAGCGTTTCCAGAAGTGGAGTCACATGTACTTCATTTCTGGTCAAATGTGCATTTCTTTGACAGCAAATTTCAGGTATACTTTTGTGGGATGATTAAGATACATGCATCAGTGAGAAAAAAAAAAAAAAGATAAATGGGTTTCATCGTATGGAAATTATTTTTCTACAGTTGAAAAAAATTGAGGATTTTTTAGGAAAATTAAGTGTCAAGTGTCTACAGCAATTTAGGATTTCTGGTAGTGCACAACTGCTGTAATTAATTACCATCATCTTTCTGAATTGGTTCTCATTAGCTGTCCCTTTTTCACTAAGAATGTATCTGAAGTACCTTCATATTGCAAGTGCATACCAATTTTTTCCCCAAAAAGCTCAGTTAGCAGCCAGCATATGGGATATTTTGTTGGGTGGGGAAGACATCATCTAGCTGAGCTTGCTGATTAATTCATACAAATAGCACAACGTATGGCATTGGTTGGGAGACTTGGCCACAGAACTGCAACAAAAATACCACACTAAATAAGATGAAGGATGAGTATAAGCTGCTGGCCTGGAATTCAGAGAAACTGATCTAATTTCTACTCTCTGCTATGCGCTTTGTGCACAGTAATGTGCAGATCACTTAACATCTTATTTCCATATCTGTAAAGTGAGGAAGTAAAAACTATTAAAACTTTAGCTTTTAGGAGTCAAGGACAGCTTTACTTGCAGTTTATGGTTCCTCACACCAGTCACACTGGCATGAAAGCTAACATCCCACCAAGGCTGTGAGGTGACTGATGGAAAATGTCCTCCACGAGGAGTTTTTCTTCTGAAATACCCTCACACAGTTCATCACAGAGTTTCATTTTGAAATTGTAAGATTGACCTGTTTTTACAGGCTTTTGGAGGGATGTTGGAGGGATGTGCTAGTTAATTTTTACAGGTCATGGGGGGGGGGGAAACATTATTTATAGTGAGAAATGGATATTTTTTCCCTCTCTGTAAAAAAACTTGGCACTGTAACCAGCGATTCTTTTAAATATTAATAAAGGTAGACTACCTTAGAAGACCTTCTAAATCTCACCTCAGAAGAATTGTTACATTCACTGAACACCTTTCACTGCGATTGCTAAAGATAGATTGCTAAAGATTAGTATTGCTCTCTGCTTCTTTGTACCTTCACAAAGGATTTTAAAAGCATAGACTTATATCTGCAGGAAACAACTATTATTAATGAAGCAGCCGGATCTTTTCAAGAACAGGCTACTTTGCAGACTACTGCTCTGCTAAATATTAACAGAAATGCTGATGATATACCTACAGTGCTTTGGGATAATGAATATTAGTCATTTTAAAAAACATGTAAAAAGAATAAACCATATCTGAAATGTGAAATGAAACTGTAAAATAATATACATGGAAACCAGCTGCAGAAATTATTAGCTTACATTTCCCCCCAGCAGTTTTGCCTACAAATATATCTGATGCAATGTGAGAAGTATTGCTTCACAATAACATCGCAATTTTGCTAATGTCAGTTTCTATTAAAGAATGCAAATAAGCAGTATCTATTCTGATAAATAAATGCAAGCAGAGAGCAATTGTACTACTGATACCATGCTAGAGCAATGCAGACAAAGGCAATTCTCTTCAATTAATTATTTCAGTATTTAGTTTTATTTTCCTCTATGAAATTCTGCACAGACACGTGCACACATGCACAGAGCAGTGTTTTCAGGCTCAGGCAAGTCTTCCTAGGGAACTGCTGAAAAATTACAGACCAGGGAAGCCCCAGGTACTCAAATCAGTGGCAGTGTGCCCGCTGCAGACGGCTAGAGAGATCAGCCAGACAGGCAAGGGGGATGATTTTTAAAACATACCCAGTTTCTAAGACTTCCTAAGTTTAATTTTTTTTTTTTTTTTTTTTTTTTTTTTTTTTTTTTTTTTTCCCCAGCTATGCTCTAACGTATCATTGTACCTTCAAAATGTGCCCTAGGGAAAATGCTTCTATTCTTCACTAAAAATCCATGAATAACATTATGCAGAAATTAATTTCTGAAAAATTATTTAAAATCTTAACCTAGAATGGTGTCTTATTCAAATGTCATCAGAAAATGGCATCTCACCCGCAGAAAGGAGTCAAGGGATCCGTTCTCCATGTATTCAACTACAATCATTACTGGTCTGCCTGCAAAACAGCACAGAAATACATTAGGATTATAGACATATTATGGAGCTTTTATAATTCCAGCTGTTATGCACAGATGATTCACAATAGTTAAATACGTTTCCCATTTTCAAAATCCTCAAATCCTCAATTGTACCAAAACCACAATTCTCTGAGTTATTCTCAAATAATTATTTGTGTATGCATGGTACTGGATTAGCTGAATGTGCATCATTCCTGTATCCTCCCTCTAAAAAGGATCAAAGAAGAGACTGCTATTTCCAAATAGCAACAATTGCTGTGTAACATTTTGGAATATACTTAAGGAAAATAAAATTTTGATAAACCATGTCCAAGAAATTACAAACTCAGTGCAGTTATTTTCCTTTCAGAGAAAACCAGCCCAACAATTTAGTGGCATACAGATAGACAAACTGAAGGAGATGTCACTAAAAAAGTTCCCCCAGATTGGGTGTGTGTACTGAGTGTGTAAAATTCAGCAAAATTCTGAATTCATATGTTTGTATATACATAACATCTACACAATGTTACTGAAATAAAAGTTTTGCCCAACTAGCACACCTTTCCTCTATAGTTCCAGGGTGGGATCATATCCAAATTGAAGTAGAATGACGTTACATTTAATTCTTAAAAAAATATCCAAATCTGAAGATAACCTTCTAAACTAGGTACTTAACTAACGACCATTTCACTGCTGATAGCAGGAATAACCTACCACTCTACTAGTGCTCGAGAGGAGAGGCCCACATAGGATGCTAAACAGGCTACGCAGCAGGAAGTCTTTCAGAATTGTTAAGATTATAAAGGAGCCATTCTAATATATGCAAACCCAAGGTAATTAATAAGTATGTTGGTAAGACTGGGAAGGAGGTAAAAGTTTTTAAGGTGGCAAACTTTTCTTCCCCTGAGAATGTGCAACTCTTTCCAGGATTGTGTGAAACCAGGGTGTGCCAAGCGGTGACTCCACCAGCCCGCCCATTTTCCTTTCTCAGGACAACAGCAGCTGTTCCAACATTTTTCAAACCAAGGGAAGCATCTTTAATTACTTTTGTGTTTTATTTGGATAAGGGGATGAGAAACAAACACAGCATTCAGGGAGGGAAAGTGTAGAAGGATATTGTTCCAGCACAATTGTCTATTTCTGTACCTGATAACTTTCTGCTCAATTTGGTTAATGGTGGAAGTGTTTATTAAGCTGTACACAATATACAATAAGCCACAGCCAGGTACTTCTTCTGAGCTGTTACACCTAAGCTTGAATTTTAAAAAGTGAATGGACTATTTCTCTGTTCCTTCCCAGCATGTCAGTTTGGAGTTCCAGGTACCCCAGTGATGCTCATTCATGTAGTTTAGTCTAGTCTTTCTGGAGTTCCTCACAATATTATCTTATTTCTTCTAATAAAAGTAGGGGTTGCTTCTGTATTCACCCTCATGTTTAGGTCTTCAGTGAATAAAACAGTGCTTCATATTGTTGGCACAGTTGTACATTTTTTTCTGTGTTAATAGATGTCTTAACAGCCTTTCTAAAGTATGAAGAATTACCAGCTTCTTTTTTTTTAACTTAATGTTTGGTCTCAGCTGCAGATGTGCATCTGCCACCAAATCAATTTATATGCATTGGCATCCATAGATTATATTCTGGTTTTGCATTATAAACTTAAATGATACATCATTTTTAAGCTCTTGGAGATAACAGTGTTTTAAAAATTAATGCTTTCTTTACTTCAGCTTGCTTGTATGTTGTATAGGCTACTCTCTTTAATTTCAAGCACATAAATGACCTTGGTTCCCTTACTTTTACCATTTGCTTACTGTCAAGGGGCTGACATCTCCATGTGAAAGGAACATTCCATAATCTAGACAAGTAAACAAATGGCAGCCTGATGCTCAAGCAAGTAGTGGTTTAAAAATTGTTTCAGACCAAAGCATCTTACAATAAATAAGGATGTAAAGCTGGCTTTCAGATGGTATATTTGGTATATTTGATCAGGCATGAGTTATTCAGAAATTTCTCTTTTTGGGTAAACAACTAAAACACCTCTATGGAAGAATTCCATTTGCAGGGAATGCCAAATGGAGCTATGGAGCTTCAAAACAGTGTCCCTAGTTTCCTGTTAATCCTTTTGTGTCCTATGCTTTCCGGAAGATACTTTGTAAAGTTATCTAGGGGTTTGTAGGAACTCATTACATCTTTTATGCTCCTTAGATTAATATCCTTCAACATAAATTATTTTCATATTTATTTTGTAAAAGCAACTTTTAATTCTTCATTGTTCTCTCACAAAATACTGCCCCCTCCAAATATGATAAAATTTAGTCACTTAGGCTGATAGCTTCCCACAGTTTCAGTCTGTATCCCTCTCCATCCTACCTAAATATCAAATGCACTTGATAAAAGATTGCATCAAGACACCACAAAAATGAACCCAGCTCCATTTCTTGATTATCTAAAGCAAAAATCTTAAATCTGGATCCTAATACTAACATCTCAAATAATCTTCATCTAGTGTACTTCTAGAACACTTGATAAAAGCCATCTTATGTTGCCTGCAAGTTTAATGTGTCACTGAAGATATTTATGCATTTTAAGCTGGACTGCAACAGACAAATGCAGTGAGACTTTTAGTCAGCACAGTATTTCTCTTTGGAGTACCTGTAGATTAAAAATATGTCAGCTGTTGTTCTGATTAGTTCAAGATATAGTAAAACACTCTGCTACTCAGCAGATTCCAGTGGTTACATTTATCATCAAAGCAGTAACACACAGGTTCCATCCTGAGCAAACAATTACTTTCCAATAATTTTATAGGTTTAAAAATTTCATACAAGGATCTCTAAACATTTTACAAATGTAAGGACACCGATTATCAGGAAACATAATTTATGACACATCTTGATTTCAAAGGTGTGGTAGGAAAAACAAGTTCAGAATATCAAGTGGCTTTCTCCCTCCAGTCAGTAGAGCACACCCACAATGTTGTATTTTCTTCCTTAGCTATAGAGGCACTTAAGGGAGACAACTGTGTGTTCACGTTGCATGAACAAACTCTCCAGTTCACAAATGTTTGAAGGAATGGACTAGCAGTTGGCTCTGGAGAAGCTGGCTGAGACACGAGGATGAGCAGCTGACTCTGTCACATCCAAGAGGGAAATCCAACATTGGGTCTCTCAGTCCAGAGACCAAGTCACCGGTCCCAAGGGCAGGCAAAGGGAAAGGCTGGACTGTCCCCTGTGAAAAACACAGACCCTGATTGCACTCCACCAGTTCCAGATCTGGAAAGCAAACTCTGAAAGCACAGCTCTACTTCTGATACCTGACGTGTAGCAGAGCTCAATCTGGGATACTTAATCTCCAAAGGGTCGGAGGGTGGCAGAAACCCAGGGCTTGTATAGAACAAAGATCTTGGCAAGACAAAAGGCTATGGATGACATTAGTTGATGTTGGTTTGCCTTTTAGCTGCAAAGAGCAGATGTTACCTTTTATAGGATGGTACAATTTGAGTCCAGGAACGACTCAGATCTGTGCTGAACCCTGTACAAACACAGAATATTGCTTTTGTTATAAAGCCAGCTACAAAATTGACTTTGAAAAATAATACTGGGAGATTTTTTAACTACTGTAATGTTTGCCTCCAGCCAAAAAAAAAGGCTATTACTTAGTTTATGAAAATCCACGTTGCTCTCATGGTACTAAGAAAGATGAATACTTCATCCTCAAAAAAGGACAGGAATAAAAAAAGGAGATGGGGCAGATAAGTCCTGGAGACAGAGAAGCAATCTTTGGTAATTTTATCATGGGGTAGGCTAATGCAATTCTGGAAGGCACTGAATTATTTTCCTATAGTTATGGTTGCTTACACATATGAAACATGGACATCTTCACTTGACAAAACAAGTTTAAGGATAAACAGCAGGGGGAGGTTATACAGATGGGAGTCGGGAAAGCACTTGGGGCTCAGAAGGATGGCACAGGCTGCAGCACAGAGACAGCAGCAGGACAATGATTTTCATTGTATTTCATTGCTTGGAACTTAGATCAACTTGTAGAAAGTGCAGGGGTTATTCATTACTTTGATGCAAGCGCTACCCTGTGACAAAAGTCTGACTGGTTTTGATAAGGTGGGTTTTCTTCCCTAAGGAAGTTTTCACTGAAATTCTTTCACCCAGCTGTACTGCAATGCCATTAAATAAGACCAGCATAAATAACAAACATATTGATGTCATACTACCTCAGATTATGTTACAATATTATATATTCTATTGATCAATCTGCTTGACTTTTTTTTTTTTAATAAGCAGAAATACAAACCAGAAAAAAGCCACACATTTTAAATAATGTAAAATAACATTTATGTTTGAAGTTCACATCATAAATATTTTTAGTTTTCTTCCTATTTTTCTTTCCTACAACACAACACAAGATTTTGATAATGTGTAACTTGAGTGGTAGAGTGATGAATAAGGAGGAGAATTTGAACTGTCATATCAATGACAAAATATTCAGCTTGTTGTCTCTTGTCATTTTAAATAATGCAGCAAAGTTAATTTTAATGAATTTTTAATGTAAGATTAATCTTCCAAAAAGAATACAGTTAGTACATTTTCATTTCTAGAGTCCTATAATGAAATCTTTAATACCCATTGTGGGAATAGATCTGTTAACATAAAAAGAGTTTATGTATTCTATGACTTAAATAGAGCAAAGGTCAGAATCTCTTCTCCAGTTCATATAAGAAAATATTGGCCCATCAATTCTGTGGGTCAGAATTAATGCATCTCAGAAAATCACCTCTTTATGAGGCATTTTTTCACTCAAAGCCATGTTCTGCTTCTGGTTCTCCACTAACTTACCTCCTGCTAAAGCTAGAAAAAGATTATCAAAGCAAAACCCACAGGCACTCCCTTAGGTAGTGCTGGGCCTTTCAGCACTCCAATAGGGTGCAAAGCACCCACAGGAAAACTCTGTGTCCCTCACTAAAATGCCAAGGGCTTGGAAGGCA